GAGCTATGAAATTCTCAATTTTTAATTTTTATATATATTGTTTCTCTTTATATGGCCTTTTGAATAACTTCCTTAGTAGCAACAGCGTCTAGCCCACTGCAAATTATTATTGAACTGGTATTACTATAAATTGCCTCTAAATTCAAGTTATTTTGAACAAGATCAAAAGTGCTTTGAATATGTGGCTTAAGAATTGTGCAAAATGGTGGCTGAAATTTGTATTGGCTGAATGAAGGTTATATGACTTTTTGTGTATAACTCATGGTTCGAACTTGGATTTTAATTTGATATTTAAATTGGTAACTTGGACTTGAAACTAGAAATACTTGAATTGGATGGAATAAAAAACCTGAGACTTGAAACTTAAACATAAACATGAGTTTTGATTGAACTTAATCTTGAAACATGATTGAAATTGGACACTTAAACTTTGAAACTTGAATTAAAATGAAATTAAACTTGAACTTGAACTTGAATTGGTTTTAAATTGAAACTTGAGATTGAAATTTGGAAATTAACATGAAATTTGGATCTTGAAAATTGATGTGAGACGAGTGAAATTTGGAAAGAATATTGTAATTGAATCTTGAGCATGGAAATTTAAACTTTGTCGTGAATTTGGATTTTTAAATCCTGAACAAAATTTGCCATTTGGATTTTGAATGAAGATGTAACTTAGAAATTGAATCTTGATCTTGAATCTTTGAATTTCAACTAAACCATGAATCAATTCCAAAAGTGAACCACTTGAAACAATTTTGAATAAGTAACGCTCTTGAATCATACCAACAAATCATCATTGAATAAATTTTCAGTATCTTGAATTCTTCATTATGACAGAACTGCAAATGATTTGGCATATTGACCAAATGCCTCGAATTTTGATGGCTTCAACTTTACTTCATCAGATGAACTTTGATCTGACACAAAAACCTAATCCTGATCCTCAAACACAAGTACTTGAATTCAATATACACTTATCACCAAAATAGCCACTTAAAACAACTGCCTTTACTACGGTCTGATAACTTGATACTAAAGCAAATCTTTTATTTGACCAGGATTATGTCAAATTCCATTGAATTCAACTAACACTGCCCACACTCTTGACCTGATAACTCTGCTTGAATCTTGATTCAATCTTACAAAACCTAATCTTAGACAAAACGAAACTGGAAGCAAAAGGCGCATATTTGGATTTTGAATGCAAGATGGTTAGAGACATGCTAATGCATAGATGATGAAAATGCGATGATATGTATGGTTAGCGATTCAGGGTCAAAATTGGGGTGTGACAGTATTATAAAGTTTCATTTTTATTCATTAGCTTCTTTGTTTGGCTACCATGTATTGCTAAGTTCATGGATTTTTATGCAGAAAGTTGTTAAGGATAAAAGAAAGATCATTTTGATGATACTAACTTTCCGTTCATGTGAGTATGGAAATTTACCCCTTCTTATTGTCGGCTCATAAAGATGATTGATTACGATATATTGCAATTTGAGAGATTTAGATTTTCTAGTTTTTGGAATTTTAATTTCTCTAAATTTTTTTAAGAATTTGTATGAAGATTAATAAAGATGGTGATGAAGATGAAGAAGGGGGAGAAAATGAATAGATATAAAAAATATTAAGTGTTGATGCTTAATTGTTATAAATAATAGACACTCAAGATTTAAATGTGTAAAATTTGTTTTTAAAAAATTATATGGTTAAATTAAAAAAAAAAATAATAAAGCTTATGACATATACTCAACAATATTGTCTCACCTAAGACATTTAAAGTTAAAATTTAGTAAAATGGACTAAGTTGACTAACATAATAGTTTTTGAGGAACTAAAACGTAATATTTATTAGATAAGAGAGCAAATTGAAACCTTAAATTAAACTAAGGGACAAACAGATGCAATATACATTTATTATATTAAATGTGTGATTTGATATAATTGTCAACATTGCGAGAATCTACGTGATCACTATTGAAATAATATTAGTGTGGATTTTTATTATCGTATTTGCAGGGATTGGTTGATATTACCGATGTTCTATAGTTGGAGTTGTTTTAAACATAGAACATAAAAGATGTTTGTTTTGGCTTCATAACGTAACGATTGCATAAAAAGTTATAAGCAACGATAAAAGAGTTTTGATTTTGAAATGATTGTTAAAAGCATGTCAAGATTAGGGCTCGATAATCCATCTCATACATATCTTCTTAATAAAGCATGTGAACTTATTAACAATAAATATAGTCACATATCCTCTCAAGATGTTTCATCTCTAAAAAAAATTGTGAGTTTTATCATATTGATCCCTAGATGATTTCTCAATCTAACAATCAATATGATAACATTAAACGATTGATATTAGTGAATATCAACTCACAAAACTATATCTAAACTTTATTTGTTGAAAGATGGAAAATCTAGGTCAATAGTTGAAACTTATCTCTCAATAATGATCCAACACAAATATAAACCATAAAAACAAGGTTTTTCACCATATATTCATCATCAACTTGTTCACATGCAAAATATCAAGAGAAATACATACAAAAATGAGGATTATCTACCACTAATCTTGACACAAAAGTGATTAGCTACCCATAATCATGGTAGCTTGCTTTACAAGTTTCGGGAGGAGATGAATGAGCATTCATTTCGAAGAATCAAACTCGGATGCGCATCCAGCTTCTATTTGTAAAATATCAAGTTTTGGTGAATAAATCTCAGAAAATCAGGCCGTGGTGTCTAAAAGTTGGTTCTTATCCCCAAAAATGATGAAAAGTGCTTATATAGTACATTCAAAATCTGTCATGTTCGCACTGCGAACTGATTCTTCGCCTAGCGAACCCCAATTTAGGCACCTAAAGTGCCTTTGAACAGTTAAATCTCCTTTGAAAAATCTCTGAAGTTCGTCGTGCGAACGATTCTTCGCACTGCCAACTACCTCGCCTACAAGTTCGCACAGCGAACATTATGGTCATTTAGCTACTGCCTCAAGTCTGGGATGATTCGCTAGCTCTTCGCTGACGCGTTGCCACAACGAACATTTCTGGCTTGTTCGTCGAGCGAACTTACAACCCTTTTGCTACTGCCTCAAGTCTGGGATCATTCGCTGGGACTTCGCTAGATGTTCGCAAAGTGAACATTCGCTGGTATGTTTGCCAGGTGAACTTACTGATATTATTCTCTTCCTTTGACCTCCTTGTCCATTTTCTTGTGTCTCACACTTTGATGATTTCATCCCTAATTCTGCACAATAATACATAAATCAAAGGAACCAAAAGCATTTTCATGCAAATGAAGAATAGCATGCTTTCATGTAGTTAATCCAACAAAACAACAAAAAAGAGTTTGAAAAATGCCAATAATAAATGATCAATTTAAAGCAAGATTGACATCTAGCAATCACATACATAAAGGACAATATAAAGGTTGAAAGTAAATAAGTAGGGCTTATTCGATTGTGCGCTCTCACAATGCATTATCATTAATTCGAAAAACACGGTACACCATACGGTATAATGTACTTAAGTGTAATATGAAATATCACAAGGGAGCGATAATCAAGCATTTGCTAGAAATGAAGGAGTTGGCGGTCAAGAACAAATGGATGACGATGATCTTAACCTTGACGAGTTTTCCGATCCCGATGATCCATAGGATTTATTTTATTTTAATTTTAAATTTTAATTTGTAAGATATTAATTATTCATTTTAGTATATTATAAACTTATTATTTAAAATTTCTATTATTAATTTATATTTAAAAAACAAATTATTATTAATTTTGTATTTATTCTTATTTATTTATTTATATTAAAAAAATTTATTATTAATTTTGTACATATTAAAACGTAAAACACTAATTATAGTTTTTTATTTTTAAAAAACTATTTTGTGGCGTGATTTTCACTTTACAATTTGCCACGTGAAAATCACGTCGCAACACTATGTCACCTTTTCTGCAATCCCTGCTCCTACTGACATACAACAGTTAAAGGTAAAAAAGTTGTGTAGCATGTTGTGTCATGAATATCACGTGGCAAACTGTTGCGACGTGATTTTTACGTGGCAAAGTTGTGACGTGATTTTCATGACGCAACAAAGTTGTCACGCGTGCTCTTGCCACATGATAGTTCACGTCGCTAAAAATGTGTTGTGACGTGATTTTTCACGTTGTGACGTGAATATCACGTGGCTAAATTCAGTTTTTTTGTAGTGACTGTGTGTTCACTGTACTTGTTCAACTTGCAGCCCACACAAACGATTCTATAAATAGAATCCTTGCGCTGAAGTATTTGTAGCTTGAACAAATTCATTTTGTTAAATTGTACTCTCTCTCTCTCTCTCTCTCTCTCAAATTATTTATTCGTATGAGATAACACTGAAATTGGAGATAATTTGTTCGTGTGGATTGAGTAAATGCATTGTTCTTTATTCAACACTCGTGATCATTGTCTGGATTTTGCACAACGGTTAAATCGCCAGAAAAGATAAATATTCTATCACTGATCATTTTCATTTTTAAGGATCGACTAAGGAAAAGTTTTATTTTCTGTTGCGTTTTATATTGTCATTTCTTTTGTAACAACTTTTGAAAATATAGTGAATCAAATATATGCTATCTCTCTCAGAATAAATCAATTTGATTGAATTGCATGATATTATTGTTAAATTTTGACATGAAGATCTTCGTTTGATTGAACAATTCAATTTCATAACGAACACAAAAAGTGTCTCGTTGTTTCGATCCAACGACAACAGAGTGCCAGTGTGTTTATATATAAAAGCATTTTGAAAAGAAAAAAAAAGCTTTGAGCACTTGAATCAAATTCCAATCAAATAGCAATCAAAGTATATAATATTTTCATTTATCTTTAAGTCTACATAAAAGAAACTAATTCTGCATACAATTATTTATTATGTTCAACCAGTTATTATCAAATGTGTTACAAATGACATACTAAAATAGGATGCAATTCCTTCTAAAAGTCCTAGCAATTCCAGCTGAAACCATTCAAATCAAATTTTTGGCAGTGAGAAGAAGCATCATTGTTATCTTGAGAATTCAAGTCTAATTTCACTTCAAAGTTAGCCAGTCTATAATCTTGAGAAATTTTTTCACTATTAAGTTTAAGTTGCATTCCACTAGTTTCACTAACTTTTCTTCTTTTCCATTCTTCACCCTTTAAATCTTCCTTTGACATAGTTCTCCTCAAAAACAATTCTTCTTCATGAGCTCTTCCTATATTCATGGATAAAAGGCGCGAGGTATTTTCAGATACTCCACTCGATCCTATTTATAAACAAGAAAACATAAAATGAGAAAGATGGAGTAAAACCAGTTTACATTCGAGTGCACTATAAAATCGGCCATAAATAATCTAAATTTTTTAATTATAAATTTATAGGATTAGATGGAGTGAAAAATTATACCTTTTACTTCATCACAAAATGTGCCATTATATGCTCTCAAATTCATGCCATTATTATGCATTACTTGATCTCTTTCAGAATCCTCACTATTGGTTAAGAAACTTCCCATTGAATACTCAATGGCTTCAACTTCTTGTTTTTGTTGAGGCCAAATCATATTCAATTCTTTTATTTCAGAAAACTTAGAATCAAGACTCTCCGTCGACACTCTTGATGCTAACTCGGATAGTTGAACTTTTGCATCATCAAGTCCCATAGTACCTAAGTTTTGTTTTCCTAATGTTTCTTTAGCTTTTTCAAGCACCGAATGAAGGTACTTTCCTTGAGCCTCTATTCGTAGTTGTAAATGTCGTTGTACCTGTGTAAAGACGCGTTAACGGAATCAGATATATTTCTGTAAACGCTAAATCCTAAATCCTAAAGTTACTGAAAGATGTTTTATACCTCAAGTTGCTCATGTAGTCTTCTTTGCACTTCAATTTGCATATTTAATGCTTCCTTTATATCTGAATTTCTGGACTTAGTAACAATCATAGTTAGATTAAACAGTTTTTGTTGTAAATTTTTAAAAATGGAAACTTAATGATAGCACAAAATGATGAAAATGCATGTGTTGTTATTCTTACTTGTTTGTTTGGAGTCCTATGCTTAAATCTTTCATATGAATTCCACTTGATTCTGAGTCTAACATTCTGCTTTCCACTTCTGTGGTTGGTGTAGCTGCTAAGATGAACTCATTTTCATTTTTCAAATTTTGTTCATAATATTCTTATGAAAAACATTGAAAGCATAATAAATCAATGTTTCCTCACCAATTTTATTGTTGAAAGTATTAGTTTGTCCATTTGTACTTTTACTGATCCTATACTTCTGCATCAAGAAAAGATAATTCTTTATAAATAACTAAACGCTGAAAAACACCAACAAAAAACATACGAGATTTAATCACAGAGTTTGGTTAATTATATCTACGTTTGAATACTACAATTTAGTTTACAAATTATATGAAAATTAGAGTGATCAAAATTTGAAAATATTTATATGATATGATAAAAAAGGTAAGAGGGTAGTGTTTTTTTTTACCTGTAGGTGACTCTTTAAATGGTATAATGTAAGTCCAGGAATTCCCATAAGTTTCAATACTGTTTTTGGTGTAGCTTCTGCATCAATATAATAATCAAGTTAGCTTAAAATGTTGAAATGTTTATATATATAATTCAATTTAATTGATATGCACTAATACCAATATATAGATATTTTTTTACGCTGACAGTGCATCAAAATAGACTTACTATCCGCTCCTCCAAGTTGATTGACTGCTTCGATGAAACGTTGATGAAGATCTGGTGTCCATTTTAGTCTTGGCTTAGCATCAGTTGAGAGAACAAGTCCTGAATCTATGCTACCATTTCCTCTTTCTTGCATTTGCATCCTTAAACTATGCATGTTCCTTGCTTCTTCATGTTGATGGTAATACATATTCTCTTTAATGGAAAAAAAAGTTATATTAAAAGTCGAACTAATAAGTCATCTGAACCATGGTTGAACCGTCTTAAATAAGACAACTTTGATCAGATCATCAAAATAAATAAACCATAGTAAAAATTGGTTTAAGGTTCAATTGCTTCATCTGTGCTGGTTGATTTTTTGAGACATTGAAAAATATGTTTTGCGTCATAGTTTGAGCTACTTACGACAACAAAAGTTTTTACATATTTATATATATAAATATGACGTAATCACGATTGTAATTGTATCAGTTATAGTTAACTTCGATTTTTACAATACTAAAAAATGTGACGCAACGCTGATCACCGATCACAGCTTAAAACATTTTCATAATAATATTTTTTACCTGTTGACAAGTGAAATAGAATTGTTCTAAAATCTTCAAGTGCACTTCTTCTAGGGTTTCAACTCAAATTAATGAAGTTTCTTCCACACTTTGCAAGCCTTAGTTGTTTTCTCAAAGATATCTTAATTCAATATATAAACTAGAATTCTTGATACTTTTCATCATTGTAGGATCCCATTCACTTCCACCTTTTGATTATAAGAGCAAAGAACTTATCCAATAGAATTGTGCTTTCTTAGAAACCTTACACGTTGCATTTAGAATCAAATTTATTTGACCTATAATCACTTTGTGCCTGCATATGTTTTTGTTCCATGACAAATGGAAGAACCTTATTCCAAAAGTTAAGAGAAGAATTCAAAGTGACATGAACTATAGAATAAACTTTTTTCTTTCTTGAAAGCATCAAAAACCACTCTTCACTTTTCACATGTTTGTCAAAAAAGATTCTTGGCTTGGAACTCTATCAATTAGTCCTTGTCACTTACATAGGTAATTGGGGCAATTTGGAATATAAATTTTACTTTATATAGAAACATTAATTATGCAATAATTTAACTATTAAAAGTTGAAGAATTTTGGCTTGATAAGGGATTGAGATTAAAATAATTAAACAAAATTTAGTTATTTTTTATAAGTGAAGAAGTATATAACTATATTGAGTGAAGAAAAAGATGATAGACAAATTTATACACTTTCTAATGTATCAATGTCAATGTGAAATCAATTATATTCCTCTTGTTTTAGAGGAATCAATTTTTATTTTATTAAAGCATCTAAAAATAGAAATATTCTATTGGAAATACAATGAAGAAAAATAATAAAAGTAGAAGGTGGTGTTCACTCCTTGAATTTTCTTTTTTAAGAAAGAAATAGAATAAGAACACATTCCATTTTGTCTTGTTTGATAAGTTTGATGCATATGTGGCCAACAAAGAATATAAAACAAAATAAAGGACTTAGAAGTATTCAAGATGCTGGCTTTCCCTTGACGAATCCTAAGTAGCTAGAAGCATATGACAAGAAAAATACCAATGAGTGTATTTTTGTTCCTCTATATCTTTGTCATGTTATCCACTAGTGCACTATCTTTAGAAATATTTTATTTGATTTCGGATTTTGTGATCTAGTTAATGTGTGATTAATTTCATTTATAATTTACATGATTTGTTTTGAAAAGATTTAATTTGTTATAGAATTTGCATTATTTATTTTTGGAAAGGTTTAATTTGATGAAGATTTGATATGCTTTGGATTTGTCTATGGAAACTCTAATGGGCTTTTTAGCTAAGTTGACTTCTATATTTAAGGAGATAAGTTATCCTTGTGGATAAAGAGGCAAAAGAAAACATGCACATTCTGAGAGTTTCGTAGTGTGTCTTACTTGTGTGAAATTGAGATCGAGTTTTGGTTTGTATACATGAAGTTTGTCGCATTCAAATTAGTGATTCTTGCAAATGTTTGGGATAGTGTTTAACTGGAAATGGGGGGATCGTAGATTTAGGGGGAGAGTGAGTTGAATCTCACGGGTAGTATTACAAAAATAGCTTTGAATTAGGAAAGGTCAACCAATTTACTTTTAGTGATCATGTTAGAGGAAAAATCGTTAAAAAGAGTCAATTAGACTATCCTGGTCTTACTGATAATCTCATCATTATTATTCAACTATGTGATCAAGAATTGAATGTTTATTTTACTAGCGAAGAATGCATTGATACAAATAAACAACACACTTAACTCGTTAAGGGTTTTAGATCCACTAACAACTGTTACAAGTGGCCACACTCTGATGCGAGTCAACCTTAATCCTATTTAATCTCTAATGTTTAAGAACCTATGTTATGGCACATGAAGCTCGAGCACCAGAATCTCATAAGTATGAAGAAGATTATTACTGAAAAAGGCTCTTGCTGGCATATATGATCTCAAAATCGAAGGAGGTAAAATATGTGGAGACTGTCAGGTTGGGAAGTAAATTAAGATCTCTACAAGAAGGTGCAACATCTTACCACTACTCATGTTCTTAAAGTACTTCATATGGATCTTATGAGACTCATGCAAGTTGGGAGTCTTTAAGGGAAGATGTATATTCTTGTTTGTGTTGATGACTACTTTGTATACATATATGGGTTGAGTTTATTTGTGAGAAGTCTGAAACCTTCACTATTTTTGAAATTCTTTGTCTTTTCTTACAAAGTAAAATGATATTAGAGATTGGCAAGATCATTCCCATTCAAAGTGATCACGATGGAGAATTTGAGAACTTCATCTTCTATTCTTTATGTACTACTGAAGGGACTACTCCTAAATTCTTTGCCCCTATCAAACCTTTATAGAATATGATTGTGGAAAGGAATAATAGTAGCTTGGAAGAAATGGCTAGAGTTATGATCCATGACAAACACATGCCATATCACTTTTGAGCTGAAGAAAAAAATATTGTTTATCTTATTTATAATTAAGTAATGATTCGACCGAGTACCACTGTCACTCATTATGAGATATGGAGGGTGAGGAAACCCAACGTTAAATATTTTCATATGTTTGGAAATGAATGTTACATTCTTAATGACCATGACTAAAGAAGAAAATTTGAACCAAAGAGCAATAAAGGCATTTTTCTAGGTTGTTCCACTGACAACACGACGTATCGGGTGTTTAAAAATCATACAAAATTAATTATGATATCCATAAATATTATTGTCAATGACAAGAAATCTAAAGTGATCATTGGAGAAGATTAAGATTCTGGTCTCAGAGGTCAAAATAGCGAGAAAGATGTTCCAAACAATATGGAGAACAACTCACAGTCTAGTGAAGAGGACGAAGATTCAGATGATAATGAATATTGTTGCTAAAAGAAAAAAATCATCATCAAGGGTAAAATAGAATCATCTTATTGAAAACATATTAGGAAACCTATATGAATGAGTCTCTATACAAGGAAAATAACCAATTAATTACATAAAGATGACATCTAATTAGTGTTTTATGTCATACTGAGGGTAGAAATATTGTTATTGACAACCTAAATGAGTTTGAAAACCTTGATCAGACAATAGAGGCATTTATTGAGATCTGATGATCCTCCTACTAAGAATGTGATTGAGGCTACTATTAATGTTGATATTATCACTACTGAAATTGAACCTAGTAATCCAATGAATGATATCCACACTTATTATAATCCTAAGGAGGTTAGTGAATTTATAAATGAATATGGCAATAAATATGTCATTGAATATGTTAGTGAAGATGTTAATAAGGAAGTTAGTAAAGAAAAGAAAGGGAAGAAGGTGGCTGAGGAAGAAGTCCCCTTGTCTCCCTTACTTGGTTCTAATAAGAAAAGAAATGTTATTGTTGATAAGAAAAAGACTTTGGAATAGAAGGAGAAGAATGTTGAAAATAAGAAAAAAGAGTGTTGAGAAAAAGAAGTAGAACTTGTTGGATTATTTAATTCAGCGTCTCCCTGAGGGATTCGATGGGCTTAACATCTCACCCATGGGCGCCTACACAGGTGTGTTAGGTGGGCTAGGTAGGCCCTTTGGGGTTCACTTTAAGAAAGATAGTTGCGCCCTGACTAACAGCAATTACTTTTGGCCTAGTGGTAAGCGTTTGATCCTACAAGTGGTATCAGAGCAAGATCATGGGTTCGAATCCCCCCGGCTGACACTGGGGGGGGAGATTGTTGGATTATTTAATTCAGCGTCTCCCTAAGGGATTCGATGGGCTTAACATCCCACCCATGGGCGCCTACACAGGTGTGTTGGGTGGGCTAGGTAGGCCCCTTAAGGTTCACTTTAAGAAAGATAGTTGTGCCCTGACTGACAGCAATTGCTTTTGGCCTAGTGGTAAGCGCTTGATCCTACAGAACTATGATAAAATCAAGACTATAAAACACGTAAAAAGAGAGAAGAATGCTTCTAGCATCACAAAACATAATGTTGAGGGACATGTCATAATCAATATTGGCCTTCAAAGGTTTTTTGGCGGCTCTGAACCTCAGTTTGAAGTATATATAATGTACAATATTGGATTGGCTAACTAGGCTTCATCTTTTAACTTTTTAGGTATCACCCATAGTCTCGATGGTCTTTTGTGTTAACTAAAAACTCATGATGCCTTTGATTTCAGAGACAACATTTTTGAACAATTTGTTAAGCATGCTAAGTCTTATGTCATCAAGTTTTCTTCTGATGAAAATGTTGAAAATCCTATTGGTCAATCTACAGATGTGTCCAACTCTGGATATGAAAAAGATGATTCTCACATGAATGAATATGCCTCTAACAGTGACTTCACCACTCTTTCTCTTTAGTTTAGTTGTTTCTTTGGTTTAATCTTTTTTGTTTTAGGGATTGAATATTTGAAATTTTTGGTTGGATTTGTTCTCAAATTAGCGGTGTTGGTCCTTTATGGTTCTGTTAATTATATGCATGAATTTCATTTTGATGATTTGATTACCTAAATCTTGTTATTAGTTGTCTCATGATTTTCTTTGTTCTAGAAGTGTTCAATTTTAGGTCCTTTGTGGTTATGTTAATTGTATGCATGAATTGCATTTTGATGATTTGATTTCCTAAATCTTGTTGTTGGTTGTTAAGAGTCCCACATCGGACAATAT